TCAGAAGCTTGCATTGGTAAAGTCGTACTCCTACTTATTGATGGTGTTTACATTTCCTATTAGTAGCAGAAGAAACTGAAGTCTAACTTACTTTTGGAGAAATTTTGTTCGCTACTTTACTAGTAAGTAGCTGCCGTTTTTAAACTGGAAGTTTCTACACCTGGTTTAATCCCGTTTATCAGTTTACATCTTCGCATGCAAATGATGCAAATCTGATGTATGTCTTCTAGAAAATTTTAAAACAGTATGTTTTCAGAAATATAAAAAGAAGGGGGGGGGGGGGGGGGGGGGGGGGGGCGGGGCGCGGACATTTGGAAACAGTATTTGTTTTCCAAAACATTTTGAAAAAAGGGTTTGCAAAATTATCTCTTGTGGAGTTCCTTTTGAAAATAAGATTTGAGTTTGATCTAAAAATGAAGGGGTAGGTTTTGATTCTGTAAAATTGTTTGCCGTAGTTTTCTCGCTTCAACAATTTCATTTTATCTCATTTTGTGGCTTCAAGGGTGAATGTGCTAGGCTATAAGCTTTAAATTGGAGATTCCTATGTTGAGATTTCTGTAATTATCCACTTTTGGTTATTTGTGCTGACTGTGGTAGATCCCCATTAAGCATGTGTGGAAGTGTAGGCGTGTGAGGAATAATTTGTTATTAGTTAGTTAGGGATGTGACCATGAGAATATAGTGAGAATGAGCTTTGGATGGAGAAATATATAATGTAAGAAAGTAAGGAGCTGGAGAGGTACGTTTTTGCCTAATCATCTTGTGAGAGAATTATACTTGGGAGAGAGAGGAAACTCTCTAAATCTTCCCTTGACTCGGTATCTTTTGATAAATAAATCCCCGTTCCTATCAGACTAAAGTATTTTTAATAAACTTCTTGGCATTTTCTGAGGATTTCTAAATCCTCTCTTTTGTGTTTCATTTGTTAAGAAAGTTCTCTTATATATTTATATTTAAATATAAATCCATAAACGAGCATTATGCTCAAGTGCAAGATGTCTCGGGAACTTTAATGGTTGTAATTCATTTTTTATATTTTACTTGTGCACAGCCTACCTAATTTGTCCTGAAGTGTTTAATCAACTATAAGTTATCAATCTTATAGGGGGCACTGGCACTTGAAGATGCTCTTTCAAGAGGTTTACCAATCCAGGCTGAAATAGAGGCTTTACGCGTTGATCTTCAAGGCATCGACAAAGATTCAAACTTAGAGCTGGTCCTTTCATCCATTCCTAAAGAAATATTGAATCATGGCTCAGATACTTTGTTACAAATAACACAAAAGGTACACTAATGTTTCCTGGTTTGAAGATAAATTTTAGCATACTTTTCTCTCAAAAAATTACCAATGTATAATCAGTGTCATTTCTTTACTGGGAAACTTTGGTGCTGTTTGGTATTGGGTTTACGAATTATTCTTTGTTTTTTTAAAACAAAAATTTAGTGAAAATGTGTTTGAATAGCTGTGGTAAGTTTGGTATTGGTCATATGGAATATTGTTCAATTGTGTTTACTTGTTATTTACAGTATTTTCTATTTGATAATAAAGTCGAGTTCATCTTTTATGCGAAAGTATCTGGCTAATCCATCACCCTGCATGCAGTTTGATGCGCTAAAAGCACCATTACGGCACTTGAGCTTGATCCCACCTGGTGGCGGTGGCATTTTGGCGCATTCTTTAGCTTATGTAGCATCCTGGATTAAGGTACATCCGAAAGAACTTTAAATATCCCATTTACTCTTCTCTGTTGCTGTAGTTTCTGAAATTTCCTTGACCTCCTTCAGGTGAGCGAGGTCGATCAATCTGGTACTGGGATTGAATCTATCATCAACCGAGTGGAGTCCTACTTGGCTGAAGGAAACTTGGCCGAAGCAGCACATTCTCTGGAAGAAGGTGTTAAAGACACAAAAGCAGAAGAGATGGTTCATGATTGGGTAAGGCAAGCAAGAAATCGAGCCATCACGGAGCAAGCCCTTACCTTGCTTCAACTATATGCCTCATCAATCAGCCTTACTTAAGACCTCAACGTAATTTGCCATCCCCGTCGCTGGTATGCAGGCACTGGTTGTGCTTTTTTGGTACTATATATTTGTTAGCTGCATGTCGAATCTCTTCGTTGAAGGTTCTATTATAGGGCATCTGACATTCTGGAGTTACCCAGGGAAAAAAGAACATGAGTTTTCAAGTAACGGGAATGCACAATTCCTGGATAGCACCATTCTTTCTGTATTGACCTTAATAAAAAAAAAGTTAAGAACTTTTTTTACTTTGGATGCAGCGCCAGGAGAAGCAACTGCAGCCATTCGGGCACTTTTGAGAAGGCCAAACTAATATTTGCAACCTTTTGTGGAAGTGGGTTAATTGCAAATCCCTGGTTCTTGTTTTCAGTGAGATGCTCTTCTACTGCTTAGTTTCGAGAAGCTTTGCTTTTTCTTAATGTGTTTGGTTATAAGCATGATTCGTGGTTATCCCAGATCTGACGGGGGTTGGGGAGGGACCTTGGTGGTAGTATTTTGCTTTCGGTTCTTTCGATTACGATTCGTTATTCTCAAAGGATATCCATGTTTGAGATCCTCCATTAAAAAATTGTCTAAGAAATAAAATAGTCTTATTTAGAAATAGATGATTCTCGTCGGACCTTTTAGAAAATGGAGGAAAATATTCTCAATGTAGGAACTATTTGAGGGGTCGGTTGGGACATGAGTTTGGAATCAAAGTCTAGTTTGTGTGTTTAAATAGAGGATCTAGTCTAGGAAACTCAGTTTAATAAACATTTGAGTTTGTTAAGAGTATAAGAAATTTGTTTTTAGAAACTGTTTGGAGTGAGTTTGTAGTACACTATGAAATCGATGGGTATGCCTAATGAATTCCGCTTTATAAAGGAAACGATGGGATTATTGGGTAAAGTAAAGTTGAAGTTTTGATTTATTAAAATTTGATATTGCTTTAAAAACACTTCAAATTTTTTATATCCACACCAACTAAAACCGGTCCCCTTTTGGTGACAGTTGATCCATACTTGAATCAATAGAAGATGACCCATTAGTAACGGGTCCTTTTGGATTCTTCAAAAAAGCTTGGAAGATCGTTACACATTTATAATACATTAAACTATGTTTGAGATGACTTCAAATTACAGTTTTGATGGAACCCTTAGCATCATAATCACAATGCATAAGTAGAGAGATAAAGATGATGGAACATGGGCATGGGTAGGGAGTAGCAAAAGAACAGAAGGAACATGGGAGGTGACAGCTCAGCTAAAAAGTAGATGCAAAAAATGCAAATAATAGGAGTATAAATTAGCAAAGAATATTGTTGTTCATAACATCATAGCAGCTGCTACACAGTCCCAATCATTCCAATCTGATGATACTACCAACAAATATCCACCAATACTGCCTAAATTTCTACTCATAATGTCATTAAAAGCAATGTGGTATAGTTTTTAGATCTGGAAATTACGTAAAAATAAAACTTGATTTGTCCCATATGTACATCCAACTTATTTATTTTTACATAGAAACCTTTAATTACAAGTGGAAATTGTATACTTTTTGTGGGTTCAATTTTGGCATGAGTAATGCATTTTGGTTGGGGCCTGTGCAATTTCAGTTGGCCGATAGGGATTATTACACAAATTTTATATTATCTATTTTAGCTTTATTAGGTGTTTTCTCACTGTCCTCAATACCTGTCTTTTTATATCATTAAATATATTATTCCTGAGAGATAGGTCTCTTTTCAATCCAAGCTCTTGTTTTTTTTTTTTTTTTTTTTTTTTTTTTTTTTTTTTTTTTTTTTTTTTTTTTTTTTTTTTTTTTTTTAATACTTTTTAATAGTTCAACGATTTTCTTCCTTTTATTATTATTTTTTGTTCTAACTTAATTAGTAAAATAATAATAATTAATTTCTTTTAAAAGGGCGAAGGTGAGCCGAGCCGAGACAGGAAGCCGGCGGCTAAGCTTGTCGGTGGTGTATTAGGGAGAGTGTGGCTGTGGGAAAAAGGTCATAAAGCTTCATCGCTGTCTCCTGCTTGGTTCCATTGCAATTTATGTGTATTCGAAGACGTAAATCTCATTTTTAGCGGAAAGAAGAAGAGAGAGAGAGAGAGAGAGAGAGAGAGAAAATAAAACAAAAATCTGAGGCCAAGCTCTCTCACTCTCTCTTTATGCTCGCTTCTCTTGTAAGAAAACTGGTGGATGTATCAAAGAGCTTCTCCATTGCACTCTCTTCTTAGGTTGGTCCTTTCTCTCTCGTTTTCTCTCTGCTGCGTGAAATGGATTTGAGCTGGTTGTATTGGCCACGATGTAAAAATTTCAGTGAAATTCTGCTCTGATTTGAGGATTTTTCTGGATTATTAGGCGAATGTTATTATAATTTGGTTCATGTGTGTTGTGCATTACACACTCGTTTGACTGATTTGTAAATCAGTTGGACTTTGATTCTTTGCTGCTGGATCTGCTTCATTTTAATTTGAATTGGTCGGCGTTTATGTAAATCTATATCCTGTGGGCTTAAGTTGCTTGGATTTGATTCCATTTCTGCCTTTAATTTTTAATGTAATTCGGTTACCCGCGGAGACGCGTGGCCGGTGGAGTATAGGCTGTTTATATATATCGGGGCGTGATGTGAAAACAATTGCACATTAATCTTGCATACCGTTATTTGGTTCGATTAGTCTTACAACCGCTACTTCAAGCATCGCTGTTGGTCTGGCTTTGTTATCTGTTTGTTAGTTGCATGGAAACGGTTCAAGTGTAATCAAATGTTGTTTGGATTCACGATATTTTAATCGTGGTAACTGATCTGGATTTTTCATGATTGTTTTGCAGGAGGCTGCTATGCTATTAATCGTCTTTCTTTCATAGATCTGAAGAATTCGAACATTCTGTTTCATCTTCATTTATCTTAAACGGAAGGAAAACTGGCGGCAACACTAACTTGGAGACTATCTGCCAGCAACGGTAGTAGTCATCCTACTAATGATCTGGTAGTTTGTGGCCTTCACATTTTAAATGTTGTCAAGATTCTCTCTTCAAGTCAATTATGTAACTCAATTTTACTGGTGTGAACTGAAGTTAGATTCGTAAAATAAATTTTCTTTTTTTACCAATTCTTGCATGGAGTCCCTATGAAAATGGTTATTTCATTGTTTTAAATGTGAGCATGTGTGATACTGGTGCATATCAAGAAGTTTGGTTTCTTGACCCACGATTGTGCTTATTTAGTTAATTGGTTATCTGAGCTTAATGTTGTACTGGTTTATTGAATTTCAAAGCTACCCTTATTCAATGCAGTGTTTTTGGGGATCTCTACTTTAATTTGATACAGTGGTTTAATATTTACCCCTGTTTATATATTGGGGGGAATGCTATGAGCTGCTGGAGAAAGTTCTATATGTGCTTAGAAGTAGTCTACCTCTTGCTTTTGTGGTACATCTTACATTATCTAGTAATCATTTCTATGTTCAATTGTTGTAGGAAAAAAATATGGATGGAAAAATTCACGATTCAGAGCCTCCAACTCCACATTCTTTTATGAAGATGGGCTCCAGGTAAAATCAGAGTTTAATGCTTATTTATTTCATTTTAAAAAAAAGTTCATGGTACGTTTGAAAGATGCATATTCTGAGGATAACCAATATATTTTTATTTATTGGCTGTCCTTGTTTGTATCATTCTTGTTCCTTTTGCAATTTCATGGGATTTTTGGAATACTAATTTTTCTTTTGATAACCAATATGAGTTTATTTATACATGGCAACTGCACGCATCATTTATTCTAGAAGTTTCACCATTTTTTGTCCACCTTTTCATTGAATTTGTGTATATAGGTTATATGTGGACAGCACATGATGAATAAATCCCACAGTAAATGATTGTAGCATATAATTTAGTCTTGTATTGTGTCGAAGTCAATCCAAGTAGTGAAATACTAGTGTTATTGTTGAATTGTGTATCCCTGAACAATATACCCAGATGACATACTTTGATCATATATCTTGCAGAGATCGCAATAGCATGGAAGATCCAGATGGAACACTGGCAAGTGTTGCTCAATGCATCGAGCAGCTGCGGCAGAGTTCCTCCTCTGTGCAGGAGAAAGAATTTTCTTTGAAGCAATTGCTGGAACTTATTGATACACGTGAGAGTGCATTCAGTGCTGTTGGATCTCACTCTCAAGCAGTTCCAGTACTAGTTACTCTTCTCCGTTCAGGATCCCTCGGGGTGAAAATACAAGCTGCTACTGTTTTAGGTTCCTTGTGCAAGGAAAATGAATTAAGGGTAAAAGTTCTACTTGGAGGATGCATCCCCCCATTGCTTGGTCTCCTCAAATCAAGCTCTTCGGAGGGTCAAGTTGCTGCTGCAAAGACCATTTATGCTGTTTCCCAAGGTGGTGCTAGAGATCATGTTGGATCCAAAATATTTTCGACTGAGGGAGTTGTTCCGGTACTCTGGGAGCTGCTACACAACGGGCTCAAATCTGGAAATGTTGTTAGCTTACTGACTGGAGCTTTAAGGAACCTCTCAAGCAGCACTGAGGGATTTTGGTCTGCAACTATTGATGCTGGAGGTGTAGACATACTAGTGAATTTATTGGCAGCAGGAGAGCCAAATACACAGGCAAATGTGTGCTTTCTCCTGGCACATGTGATGATGGAAGATGCATCCTATTGTTCCAAGGTTTTGGCTGCAGAGGCTACAAAAAAGCTCCTCAAATTAATAGGACCTGGTAATGAAGCTTCTGTTAGAGCAGAAGCAGCAGGTTCTCTTAAATCTCTTTCTGCTCAGTGCAAAGATGCACGCCGTGAGATAGCAAGTTCAAATGGCATTCCTGCCTTGATAAATGCAACAATAGCTCCCTCGAAAGAGTTCATGCAGGGTGAGTATGCTCAGGCATTGCAGGAAAATGCTATGTGTGCTTTAGCAAATATTTCAGGGGGTTTGTCTTATGTCATCTCAAGCCTTGGACAAAGCCTTGAGGCATGCACATCAGCTACTCAAACTGCCGACACATTAGGGGCTTTAGCATCAGCTCTTATGATATATGATAGCAAAGAAGAATCCACCAGAGCATCAGATCCTATAATTGTTGAACAAACTTTAGTAAAGCAGTTCAAATCTCGTGTAACCTTTCTTGTGCAGGAACGGACCATAGAAGCATTAGCTAGTTTGTATGGGAATGGCATACTTGCTGTCAAACTTGCAAATTCTGATGCAAAACGTTTACTAGTTGGTTTGATAACAATGGCAACCAATGAAGTTCAGGAAGAGCTTGTAAGAGCCCTTCTTACCCTTTGCAATAATGAAGGTAGTCTATGGCGTGCCCTTCAAGGCCGTGAGGGGGTTCAGCTGTTGATTTCACTTCTTGGACTCTCATCGGAGCAGCAACAGGAATGTGCAGTTGCATTGCTTTGTCTTTTATCAAACGAAAATGATGAGAGTAAGTGGGCTATAACTGCAGCTGGTGGCATACCTCCCCTAGTTCAAATTCTAGAATCTGGTTCTGCAAAGGCCAAAGAAGATTCTGCAACAATTCTTAGAAACTTATGCAATCACAGTGAAGACATACGTGCATGTGTTGAAAGCGCTGATGCTGTTCCTGCACTGCTGTGGTTGCTTAAGAATGGAAGCTCTAATGGGAAAGAAATTGCAGCAAAGACTTTGAATCATTTGATTCATAAATCTGATACAGCAACTATCAGTCAGCTTACTGCATTATTGACCAGTGATTTACCAGAATCTAAAGTCTATGTTTTGGATGCTCTTAGAAGTATGCTTTCTGTGGTCCCCCTTAATGATATAGTGCGTGAAGGTACTGCTGCGAATGATGCGATTGAGACGATGATTAAAATTTTGAGTTCTAATAGAGAAGAGACACAAGCCAAATCTGCATCAGCTCTAGCTGGAATTTTTGAAATCCGGAAAGACTTGCGTGAAAGTAGCATTGCTATTAAGACTCTCTTATCAGTCATAAAGCTACTTAAAGTTGAATCTGACAATATTCTAGTAGAGGCATCCCGCTGCCTTGCTGCAATATTTCTCTCAATCAAGGAGAACAAAGAAGTGGCTGCTGCTGCTAGAGATGTATTGTCTGCCTTAGTTGTGCTTGCAAAGTCTGCCGTTCTGGAAGTTGCAGAACTGTCAACGTGTGCCCTGGCAAATCTTCTACTCGATAGTGAAGTTTCAGAGAAGGCAGTTACTGAAGAAATTATTTTTCCTGCTACTAGGGTTTTGCGTGAAGGCACAATGTCTGGAAAGACACTTGCAGCAGCAGGAATTGCTCGCCTGCTTCGTTCTCACAGAATTGACCATAGCATCACTGACTGTGTGAATAGTGCAGGAACTGTCCTCGCATTGGTTTCATTTCTCGGATCTGCAGACACCAGGACTGTTTCCACATCAGAAGCATTAGATGCACTTGCTATTTTATCTAGGTCTGAAGGGGTTGGCGGGCATATGAAGCCTGCATGGGCGGTTTTGGCTGAATTCCCCCAAAGCATTTCTCCAATTGTTGCATCCATTACTGATGCAACTCCTATACTACAGGACAAGGCTATTGAGGTATTAGCTCGACTTTGCCGGAATCAGCCTGGTGTTATAGGAGAAGAAGTAGTTACTGCATCTGGATGTATTGCTTCTGTTTCTAGGAGGGTGATCAATTCCACAAACATAAAGGTCAAGATTGGAGGGACTGCCCTTCTCGTATGTGCAGCTAAAGTTAATCACCACAGGCTGTTGGAAGATCTTCAAGCATCAAATTCATGTAGTCTACTCATTCAATCTCTTGTTGCAATATTAAGCTCTTCACAGTCTTCTACTCTGGGTAATCAGAGTGATATTGATACGGAATTTATTAGCATATATAGACTTGCCAAAGAAAATACCGATGGTACAGAATCCAATAAAGCTACTGCTGTTATTTATGGGGTCAGCCTGGCAATATGGCTACTCAGTCTTCTTGCCTGTCACGATGGAAGAAGTAAGACTGTGATCATGGAGACTGGAGCAGTTGAAGTTCTCACGGATGGAATATCCAATTATTATTCACAGTACGCTCAGGTATCAACTTCTTACATCTTTTCTTGTTGCATTTCAATGGAATTTAAACATGTGATAGTTTTTTATATTACTCAAATTGATAATATCTTTAGTTTTTTTTTTCTTCCATAATTCATGGTTCTTTGTTTGGTAGTTTACTCCCTGTGGTTTCATTCTAATATTGCAGTTAATTTTTTTGCTTATTCAATTTTTACACAGATGGACTTTAAAGAAGACAGCAGCATATGGATATCTTCTCTACTGCTTGCAATTCTATTTCAAGACAGGGATATAATACGAGCACATGCAACCATGAAATCTATACCAGTGATTGCAAATTTACTGAAATCAGAGGAGCCAGCAAATAGATATTTTGCAGCCCAGGCCATAGCAAGTCTAGTTTGTAATGGTAGCAGGGGTACCCTGCTGTCAGTTGCAAACTCTGGTGCAGCAGGGGGATTAATATCCTTACTTGGCTGTGCAGATGCTGATATATTTGATCTTCTTGAGTTGTCAGAGGAATTCATGCTGGTTCGCTATCCTGAGCAAGTTGCTTTAGAGAGGTTGTTTCGGGTAGATGACATAAGGACTGGTGCTACTTCTCGGAAAGCAATTCCAGCTCTTGTTGATTTGCTCAAACCAATTCCTGATCGTCCAGGAGCACCTTTTCTAGCCCTTGGAATTTTGACCCAGCTAGCAAAAGACTGCCCGTCAAATAAGATTGTAATGGTAGAATCAGGGGCATTGGAAGCATTGACCAAATATCTCTCACTTGGACCACAAGATGCAACTGAAGAGGCTGCTACTGATTTGTTAGGAATTCTATTCAGTAGTTCTGAGATACGTAGGCATGAATCTGCATTTGGTGCTGTCAGTCAGCTTGTAGCAGTTCTGCGTTTGGGTGGAAGGGGTGCGAGGTATAGTGCTGCGAAAGCATTGGAGAGCCTCTTTTCTGCTGATCATATTAGAAATGCTGAAACTTCCAGACAAGCTGTGCAGCCCTTAGTTGAGATTCTCAGTACTGGCTTGGAGAGGGAGCAACATGCTGCCATTGCTGCTTTAGTCCGTTTATTAAGTGAAAACCCATCAAGAGCCCTTGCAGTTGCAGATGTTGAAATGAATGCAATCGATGTCCTTTGCAGAATTCTATCAACAAATTGTACAATGGACTTGAAGGGAGATGCTGCTGAGTTGTGCTGTGTACTTTTTGGAAATACAAGAATCCGATCTACAGTGGCTGCCGCAAGATGTGTTGAGCCTTTGGTTTCGCTTCTTGTGACTGAGTTTAGTCCTGCTCAGCTATCAGTTGTCCGTGCTTTGGATAAACTTGTTGATGATGAACAACTAGCAGAACTAGTTGCTGCACATGGAGCGGTTATCCCTCTTGTAGGGCTCCTCTATGGAAGAAATTACATGCTTCACGAAGCAGTGTCTAGAGCACTTGTAAAGTTAGGTAAAGATAGACCTGCTTGTAAGATGGAAATGGTAAAAGCTGGAGTAATTGAAAGCATTTTAGATATCCTCCTTGAAGCGCCTGATTTTCTATGTTCAGCCTTTGCGGAACTGCTTCGTATACTGACTAATAATGCTAGCATTGCTAAGGGACCATCTGCTGCGAAAGTGGTTGAACCCCTTTTCCTATTGTTGACAAGACAAGAATTTGGACCTGATGGACAGCATAGTGCACTGCAGGTTCTGGTTAATATCTTAGAGCATCCTCAATGTCGTGCTGACTACACATTGACCTCTCACCAAGCTATTGATCCCCTTATTCCTTTACTTGACTCCCCAGCTCCAGCCGTGCAACAATTGGCAGCCGAGCTTCTATCACACCTACTTATGGAAGAACATTTGCAAAAGAATTCAGTTACGCAGCAAGTAATTGGTCCTCTAATACGAGTACTTGGTTCTGGTATTCAAATATTGCAGCAGAGAGCTGTCAAGGCTCTTGTTAGTATTGCACTAACGTGGCCAAATGAAATAGCAAAAGAAGGTGGTGTCAGTGAGTTATCCAAAGTCATTCTGCAAGCTGATCCTTCACTTCCTCATTCACTGTGGGAATCTGCTGCCACTGTTTTAACCAGTATTCTACAGTTCAGTTCAGAGTTTTATCTGGAAGTGCCAGTTGCGGTGTTGGTCAGGTTGCTTCGTTCTGGATTAGAAAGCACGGTGGTTGGTGCACTGAATGCTCTGCTTGTGCTTGAAAGTGATGATGCAACGAGTGCTGAAGCAATGGCAGAAAGTGGTGCAATTGAGGCACTGTTGGAACTTCTGAGAAGCCATCAATGCGAGGAAACTGCAGCTAGACTACTGGAAATACTGCTTAATAACGTGAAGATCAGAGAAACCAAGGTTACAAAATCTGCAATTGTACCACTATCCCAGTATCTCCTGGATCCTCAAACTCAAGCTCAACAGCCTAGGTTGCTGGCAACTTTGGCACTTGGTGATTTGTTCCAGAATGAAGGTCTTGCTAGAAGCACAGATGCTGTTTCAGCCTGCCGTGCTCTGGTCAATGTACTTGAAGACCAACCAACAGAAGAAATGAAAGTGGTAGCAATATGTGCTTTGCAAAATCTTGTTATGTACAGTCGATCAAACAAAAGAGCAGTTGCAGAGGCTGGTGGTGTTCAGGTGGTATTGGACCTAATTGGGTCCAGTGATCCGGAAACATCTGTTCAGGCTGCAATGTTTGTAAAACTCCTCTTCTCAAATCATACCATCCAGGAATACGCATCCAGTGAAACAGTTAGGGCCATCACTGGTAATTTCCCTCAACCCCCCACATGCTCGTACATGCATAATGACATTCATAGTTTTGGATGTTTTCCCCTTTTTTATGTTATGAGATTGCACTCTAGAATTAATCATCAGCTTTTAGAACAATTTTGTAGACGCTTGCATAATAAACTTTTCTTGCCTGCCCCGGAAGATATATTGTTGTAACAATTTGGTCTTGCAGCTGCTATTGAAAAGGACTTGTGGGCCACCGGAACTGTGAATGAGGAATACCTGAAAGCCCTAAATTCTCTTTTTAGCAACTTCCCACGATTGAGAGCTACTGAGCCTGCTACACTCAGCATTCCTCATCTAGTAACATCCTTAAAGACTGGTACTGAAGCAACTCAAGAAGCTGCGTTAGATGCCCTATTTCTTTTAAGGCAAGCCTGGTCAGCTTGTCCGGCTGAGGTTTCAAGAGCTCAGTCTGTTGCTGCTGCAGATGCCATCCCTTTGCTTCAGTATTTAATTCAGTCAGGCCCTCCTCGTTTCCAGGAGAAGGCCGAGTTTTTGTTACAGTGTTTGCCTGGAACATTATTAGTAATAATCAAACGTGGCAACAATATGAAGCAGTCAGTAGGAAATCCTAGCGTATTTTGCAAGCTCACCCTTGGCAATACTCCACCCAGGCAAACGAAGGTAATATACTCATTTCTGTATATTCCTTTCGTTCATTGTTTTTGCACTTTTCTTATAAATATTCCATGGAAGGGAAACTTATATAGCTAATGATAATTGCTATGTTCCTCTAATTATTGGGAACTTTAATCTGTTGGTATCTCACGTATGCTGGAACAATGTGGTTTCTTTCTCTTGTTGCATGTGCAGTATCCCAAATTTATCATATATACCACTACATATGAACAATTTTGTTTTTGTACGTTTCATCGAGGAAATGCCCCAATGTCTTCTAAAATTTTGCTAGCAAAACGGTTTCAGGAGAAAATTTGTGGTGCTAAGAGTGTTCCTTAAAAGTTGTCTCTGCACAACACTAACCATGCTGTTCTTAATGTTACAGATTTAGGAGAAAAACCTTCCACACTAGCTTATTGTCAATATAGACTTTGCTTCATTATAACTATTGTGTCACCTTCTAATTTCATTCCATTATAACCAATATTGTCATCTCTTCTTTCTCTCTTTCATCATTTTCCCAAATTTTCTCAGATTTCTAAACTGTAACCTCCCTTTAAAACTTGGTCAGATTGTATCAACTGGTCCCAATCCAGAGTGGGATGAGAGTTTTGCATGGTCCTTCGAGAGTCCACCAAAAGGCCAAAAGCTTCATATTTCTTGCAAGAACAAGAGCAAAATGGGGAAGGTAAGTTTCATTAATTTTTTTTTTTTTTTTTTTTTTTCTGTATGAAGGTTCTACAACTAGTTTTCTCTTTGTGTAATAAAACAGAGTTCCTTCGGAAAAGTAACGATTCAAATCGACAAAGTTGTAATGCTGGGAGCGGTGGCCGGCGAGTACACCCTGTTGCCTGAAAGCAAAAGTGGTCCTCGAAATTTGGAAATAGAATTTCAGTGGTCTAACAAGTAAGCAACAATTGCATAAGTAGTAGACCAGCTCTTCCCCTGCGGCATGATTTTTTTTTTTTTTTTCAATTTATTTTCAATTTTGGGTATTTATCACGATAGTGTATATAGTATACTCTCCAGATTTTTCTTTTACTTTATAAATAGAAATTTGTCAAAAAAAAATCTCTCTGGAATTTCCTTTCACTAGTTTTCTGGGTTGAAAAAATGGACAGAAAATTTGCTCAACTGTATTTCATTGATTTCAAATGCTTGTCAATTTTGATGAAATGTAATGTATGATGTAATTATGTAACTTTCAGTTTGTAAGAGATTTATTATAAAAATGTATGCATAGGAACTCTGATAAATATGTTCTGGACATTGTGTTTTGAACTATTGGGATCTTCTCGAACGAGTAATTATTCTTTTTCGAAATGGTTTCAACTTGATTTGTGTTACTATTTAGAGGATATATCTAAAAATTGAATCAATCCTTTATACATGACCGGTAGATTTCATACCTACCAGAAGTTGGCATTTTGACTGAAGACGATCCTTAGCAAGTCTTGTCTTCATTAGGACTTCATGAAGGGATTCATGAGGATGTCTATTTAATTTTGTGGTGATTTTTGTTAATAATTGAGGTATGTGTTTTCATCTTTTTATAGCTATTTTTTTTTTTAACTTAATTGTGCGATGTAAGAGTTTTGAATAATATAAGTTCTAAATAAATTTAGATTAATTAATGTATAAATAAACTATTTAAATAACTTCACTAAAGCTCACAAATTTTAACAAAATATTTGTTGCAACTTCGTTTTTTTCTGAAGTTTTTAATTTTATAGCATCTTGTGTTTTATGATTCATAGCAAACCAGAATACTTCCTTTTTTTTTTTTAAACAAAATTAAAAAAAAAAATGTTTTAAATGAGTTGGAAACTTCTATTATTAAAGCAAATAATTTTGAATATTTTATTCTCCAAAGTAATTCATTTCGTTTTAGAAGACCAAATACGTGAAACTAAAAATAGGAGTCTGTTTCTAAAAAATAATATATTTTGTTTTATTTAAAATGTAAAAAATAATTACAAAAGCATATTTCCATATTTACATTTTGAAAAGTAAATTGCGAAAAAGAAAATAAAAAGCCAGAAGAAATGTATCCAACGGTGCTATAGAAAACGACAACCTCTCATACGCGCGCGCAAACAGTGGAAATGATTTAGTAAAAATACGCGCCACAGAGCGCGTGTAATACAGATGCGCCATGTCGTCCTCGTCGCCTTCCTTTTTTTTTTTTTTTTTCTTTCGCTCTCTTGTATTTATCTCTCTCTCTGTCTGCTTCTTATTTACATTTCAGTTCACTTCTTGTTTCCAACTTCCAGTTGAACTCGTCGGCCTATTTCTGCGATCTCTCTTCCATTATTTGGGTTTCTGCTCATAACATCGATTTCTTTCTGTTTCTGTTTCTCATTTTGGACGCCCGTGGTGATTGAGGCTCCGAATTGTTGGCAGGTTGCTTCTGAAGCTCCAGATCTCGTCTTCGAGCTACTTCGTTCGTCCTCTTAAGAACTGAGCTGCAATGTCGCTTCGGAATCTGATTTTGTTGCTGCTGATGGTGATTGCCGTTCACCAGGTGGTGTCAATTACGTTCACATCGAGGTTACTTCACCGGTTCTCTAAGGATATGAAGGCGTTTAGGGTTTCAGGGAGTACTACGGGTGTACGAGCCTCGTGGCCTGAGAAGGGGAGCATGGAGTATTATCAGGAGCTTGTGAGTGGTGACTTCCAGAGGCAGAAGATGAAGCTTGGCTCTCGGTTTCAGTGGCTTTTCCCGTCTGAAGGCAGCAAAACCATTGAGCTGGGAAATGACTTTGGCTGGTCACCATTACTATACCTTCTCCTTTTTCTTTTTTCCTTCCATGTTTTTTTTTACGCCTTGATTTCTCTGCAATGCTTTATATTGCAATTGATAAATCAATTTGTTATTTACTTCTTATAGGTTGCATTACACCTGGATCGATATCGGGACACCGAGTGTTTCATTTCTGGTCGCATTGGATGCTGGGAGTGATCTACTTTGGGTTCCTTGTGATTGCATACAATGTGCTCCCTTGTCTGCAAGTTACTATGGCAGTCTGGTAGGCCTGCTTTTCAGAACATGTTCTTTCTTACATAGCCATCAATTACTTCTCATCCATGGTTTGCTTTATCGCCAAGCATATTGCCTTTTCGGTTCCGTTGGAGTAAGGGACATATGCTTGGACACATTGTGTTGTGGAATTCAAAATTTTGTAGTGCTTTTTTGCGGAAAAGAAAGCCATGGTCGGTTCCAACGGACAAAAAAAAAAGTGCCCGATAGGAAACGGACATGAAAGGCTCTGTCATTGCATCTAAAGAAAAATGATTGGCTAACTCATTTTTGGCGCAAATGTATTCGTGGATTATGAAGTCTTTTTAATAAGACAGCAAGTTTAGCACTTATTTCCGATGATTGATTGGCAGGTGCTCCTGCTCCCTCATGTTTGGGGCATTATTTATAATGCAGGATAAAGATCTCAATGAATACCGTCCATCCAAGTCGAGCACGAGCAAGCATATATCTTGCAGCCATAATTTGTGCGACTCAGGCCAAAGCTGCCAAAGTCCGAAGCAGTCATGCCCTTATGTTATTGACTACACCACTGAAAATACTTCTAGTTCAGGATTGCTAATTCAGGATGTATTGCATCTCTCATCCGGTTGTGAGAATTCCTCTAATTGTACGATTCAGGCTCCTGTCATTTTAGGGTATGACCCATTGATCCTACATTTTGTAACTCTAGTTCTTTTCTCTGTATGTCAACTGCAGTAATGAGGAAGGTTGCTGTTTTTATATTACTCTTTTTTGCTCTCTAATACAGATGTGGTATGAAACAAAGCGGCGGTTATCTGAGTGGAGTGGCTCCAGATGGTCTTTTTGGATTGGGGCTAGGGGAAATTTCTGTTCTTAGTTCCCTTGCTAAAGAAGGATTAGTACCGAACTCTTTCTCACTGTGTTTTAATGAGGATGGATCTGGCAGAATCTTTTTTGGGGACGAGGGACCAGCAAGTCAACAAATGACTTCATTTGTACCGTTAGATGAGAAATAGTAATTACCATACTATATTATCTTCATGTTTTTGGTCATGGTTTGTATATATGCTGACTGAAGTTTTTGTCATACCTGAATCTCTCAGTGAAGCCTACATTGTCGGGGTGGAAGCATGTTGTATTGGGAATTCGTGTCTCAAGCAGACAAGTTTTAAAGCATTGATTGATAGTGGAACGTCATTTACATATCTTCCAGAGGAAGCATATGAAAATATTGTGATGGAGGTACATTCTTTTTTGTAGTTGAGCGTTGTACTTAATTTGTAGTTCGTTTGTCCTTAACCAGTTCTTCTTTTTATAGTTTGATAAAAGGTTAAATGTTACAAGCACCGTCTCCTTTAAAGGTTATCCTTGGAAGTATTGCTATAAGATCAGGTGACATCAATGAGACGGAAGATCTTTATAAGATCTTTTTTCCCTTACATCTCCCTTCCTTGCGCATGTCTAATGTTAATGTTCGGTTTTTTCCAACAGTACAGACGCAATGCCAAAGGTTCCATCTGTGACATTGTTGTTCCCACTAAACAATAGCTTTGTGGTTCATGATCCTGTTTTTCCTATCTATGGCGATCAGGTAGGTGAAGTTGCCTTCTGAGAATTTTCAAGTGTACATGATTTGATTTTGTGATTGTGGGTGAAGATGTGGACTTGATCTTTGAAATTCATCACAATTAGCCATTAAGTGAATAGTTTCCACTTTTAGCGGGCATAAAAGTACCCTTAAACATCAAACTTGGAATCGTAGTAGTGAAATTGATACTAAAATGGTACTATGGATACAGGGGCTGGCTGGATTTTGTTTTTCTATACTACCTGCTGATGGAGATATTGGAATACTGGGACGTAAGCTCACAATGTCTCCTCAAATATAGATTGCTATCATATGATATGATGTGCTATATATGCATAGTAAGTTGTACATCTAATGAAAATGGTAATCTTGAAAACTGTCTTATGCAGAAAATTACATGACAGGATACCGGATGGTATTCGATAGGGATAATTTGAAGTTGGGTTGGTCACGCGCAAATTGTAAGATTTCCAACTCCTAGTACTTGTCATGAATTTGCGGTCTCTTAACAGACGATCCATCTTGTGCATGATAGACCTATAGAAAGTTTGTGAAATCTGTCTTAAGCACCATTTTTGTTCTGGCTCCGTTTGATATGGGTTGGTTATTTTTATTGTCCATTGCATATCCCTTCATTTGTTCGATGAAAGTATGGCTTTAACTCATTTCTTGATCATAACGCTCGTTAACACGTGACTTATTGACCTCATCTCTTAGAGACAAGTCTATATTTGGGTTTACGATTAGGAGTATCCTCTTCCCCCTTATACTATTGCGAAGTTCCATTCTCATTTCGATCATGTCCATGTCGAAGGTCAAGATCTCAGTAATGACAAGGAAATGCCCATTGCTCCTGCAAAAGAGACACCACCAAACCCATTACCAGCCAATGAGCAACAGAGCGCTCCAGGGGGACATGCGGTGGCTCCTGCCATAGCTGGAAGGGCCCCCTCTAAACCATCAGCTGCCGCCCCTTGCATCATCCCATCCAGCTTTTACTCAATCAGATTGCCGCACCTGATTCTTCTGGTACTCTGCCTTGTTTCGACTTGTGTGTGATGTAGATTCTGAGCTTATCCAAGTCTTACATGTAAATGAAGGTCGTCTCCTTACATCTCCCCCTCAGCAAGGACATGTAGATCTTTTGTGTCCTTGCAAGCTGCATCAGTGGCTTTTTTTTTCTTCTTCTTTTCTTTCTTTTTTAATATATATTTTTGGACATTATATGAGCCATCCAGTGGGGGCTGATGATCTTTTAGTTGCATTTTTGGTTATGTAGCAGCTTTACCTTCTATCTACATGTTTTTCTTTACGAATATATATTACCTTTAGTTGGGATATCTTGTTGGGACACATTGGGAACTCCTTTGTCTTTCAGCTTCAGCTTCAGTGTTCCAATCACAAATCTTCTCAAATTTTCATTATGGTTATCAGTGGACAAACAAGAACAGTTGGGCCTTTTAGATGTAAGAATATTTTGATTAATCCACCCCACCCAGCCACCTAAATCGTGTGAAATTTATCTTAAAGGATATGAAAATAGTAATAAAATGATATGAAAATAGTAATAAATGGAAATAACAGATACTTATGTCGCGAAGAATTCAGATCTTTTTGAAAAAGTAAATTATAAAATCAAGTAATCAAGTGCCAAAAAGCCCAATTCCTAAAAAGAACAAAAAGTTAAAAATCAAATCATTACAAAAAGGACTTCATTTATTCATTGGGTAAAACCAAACCTTTCATTTTAAGAGAATTTTCCTAAAGCTTGGGAAGTTTGTTCAACTCAATTAGCCTAAGTTGAGCTTAAACAAATTCATGTCTCTATGATCTATATGATCTATTCTTTTAAGTGCGTTCCAAAATCAAATCATACCGAAAGTTCCTTCCAACTTCATAGATATATTTAAATCATAAAACATCGTCTTAGAGAGAAATTATTAAGAAGGGGTTAATACATTGTTACAAAGAATAAAAGAAGCAAAAAAAAGAGTATACGTGAAGAAATTATTCGATGAAATCATCATAATGTGATTGACAGTTTTTCACCGTTGGATGTATGAAGCAACTCAAGAAGCTGTGTTGATATAATAATTTGGAAATGGAAGGTAAAATGTAGAGCAATAATTGTATCATTTTACCATTCTAAAAAGTTGTTCCATTGAAAAGAATAAATAAAGGGGAAAGAAAGAGAGTGCGGTTTGTATCCAAAATTAAAGGTACAAGAAGATGGATTGTTCGGGAATCCATTTCCTTGGTTGGAGAGAAAAACGAAATATTCTTTATAAAGGTGTGGAAATCTCTCTCTAATAGAGATGTTCTAAAATTGTGAAATTGACAATCGGACGACATGACTTGAACTACTACGTAAAAATACCTATACATTAAACAAATGACTTCATCATCTTAAAAAATCATGCCCTTTTCAAGTAAAAATGTGACGTCCACGGCAACAAAAAACCAGGCTTCCTAAGAGAGATTGTTTCTGGTGATTGGGGGGCCACAACCAAAACACAGCACTTTGCCTTTGTTCTTCAATCCCTCACCCAAATGCCTATATAATATGGAGGCTGTTTCATGTAGCCATCTCAAAACCAGAGCGAGACGCAGAGAAAGCATTCTTTTCTTCAACTTAGTTTGACTTTTGCATTTTCCCCACTGTCCAAACACTGTCTTCTTCCTTTTTCCTCTGGGTTTTGCTCCTGTGAGCTTCTGTACCTTTCCCTTTTCAACTATATCGATTAAAGAGCGAAATGGGTGTTGGTGGGACTTTGGAGTACTTGTCAGATTTGGTGGGTAGTAGCCATAGACACAACAAGAAGAAACAGCTTCAAACTGTGGAGCTCAAGGTCAGAATGGACTGTGATGGCTGTGAACGTAAGGTCAAGAATGCCCTCTCTTCACTCAGTGGTATGTCTAAAGAAACACCTCTGTTTTACTAGCTAAACTTGTCCATCTCAAGAGGGAGATTGCTAACGAAATGAAGTGTTTTTTTTTTCTACCTTTGAAGGGGTGAAATCTGTGGAGATAAACAGGAAGCAGCAGAAGGTGACAGTAGCAGGGTATGTTGACGCAATCAAGGTGCTGAAGAAGGCAAAGTCCACAGGGAAGAAGGCGGAGATATGGCCATATGTTCCCTACAGCTTAGCGTCGCAGCCTTACATTGCTCAGGCATATGACAAGAAGGCACCACCAGGGTATGTCAGAAATGTGGAGCACACTGTCACTATTGCTTCTGTTACCAAATATGAAGACCCTTATAGCAACATGTTCAGTGATGACAACCCAAATGCATGCTCTATCATGTAACTTTTTTCTGCTAAAACAAGTCTCGTGTTTTGTGCCTCTCTCTATATCTCTCTTCTGCTTAATTTCTGTCAAAAAAACAATGATTCTGGTAATGATATGTATTACTGTGTGTAATTCAATCATTTCATGAAGAAGAAATGGTCAACTTGGGATGATTGATTAGAATGGGTTGTTAGTTGTTAACAGATGATGTAAGGGATTACCTTATTTCTGATGTTGTTTAAAAGGATGCATGATGTTTTAACTTCCTGTTTGTGAGACGCCTTTGCCTTGTCCACAGCTGTTCTTTCACCTGAATTCCAACCTGGTCATTTACTGTTACAAGAAAAAAAGGAACTCCCCATTGAAGCCGTATGTGTGAGATCACACCTGGGTTAGAGAGGGGAACAAAACATTTCTTATAAGAATGTGGGAACTTCTCCTTAACAGAGACGTTTTAAAATCATAAAGCTAACAGTGATATATAACAGGCTAAAGCGGACAATGTCTGTTAACAGTGTTCTTTGACTGTTACAAATGATATTAGAGCTAGACACCGGGTGGTGTGCCAGCGAGGACGTTAGGCCCAAAGGGGTGGATTGAGATTCCAAATCGGTTGGAGAGGAGAACAAAACATTCCTTCTAAGGGTGTGGAAACCTCTCCCTAACATATGCTTGGACATTTACATGGACTTTCGGTTGGGAAAAGAGCCTAAAAGATTTGAACACAAAATTCAAATAATTTGAAACTGCATTTGGCCCCAGCAAAGGAAGCAAGAGGTAAGTGCAGAGAATAAAATTAGCAAACCAAGCCAGCCTTACCTTTTGTCTCTCTTCACCAAACGTGAGGAAAGAATCCTGCTTTGTTTGCTTTTGGCTTTGGGAACAATTTCTTTCCCCCGGTTAACCTTTTTCTGAGATCCAAAGGTAGCATAAAGAGACACCGCAGTGAGAAAGAAAATAAGGGTGATTTGGATGTAATGATCTTGTGTTTATTGACAATTCAATCATATTAGAACAGAATATGTGCGCCCGTTAGATTCCATTTGAGAAAGTTACTGAACTACTCAGAAACAGGACTTACTTTTCCAAAGCAAAGAACAGTATCCGTGTATCTGGGATTTTGTTATTTGTTAGAAAATTTTTAGACGTCATAAATACACATATGAACGTTCAATGGACCACTTTATTTATGGTTTAGGCCAACGAAATTGAAATTGAAATTGAAATTTTAACCAGATGTTGCAATTTAATTTGATAGGAGGTTGAAGAAAAGTGAAATTAAATTAAAAGCATATTCAAAACAAGAGAGAGCTGATTTGGGCCTGGATCCTTTTGGTCCAACATAAAAGGACAGCCCACGTGTTTTGATACCCATGGATTCATTTGGGTCCAAATAGATGGACCATGACAGAATAATAGACCCGAGTTCAAAGGTTCCATCAATATTCCAAAACGATGCCGCATCAACGGTATTTGGTGGCAAAAAGCAACGGGAAAGAGACAACAAAAGTCATTCTTAACGTTTCTTTATGATGAATTCTGGGTTTAATTGGAGGTAAGCACTTCTCCATCCATGGACCAACCACTTGACTTTAAGTTCAAGATAATCAAACCCTCACCACCAAGACTCCTCTCCTTTCTTCACCCATTTATATCCCTTGGATATTAAGAAGATGCACAAAACTTTAGCTTCCAACTATTTCCCACATTGCCAATGGAAGCTGAGATCGTCTTCTTCGACTTGGAAACTACAGTGCCCAATAGAATCGGGCAACGGTTTCGAGTGTTAGAATTCGGTGCTATTGTCGTCTGCCCCATGAAGCTTGTGGAGCTTCAGAGCTTTGCTACCCTCATCAGGCCAAAGGATCTGTCGGCTGTTGCATTGAGGTCCACCCGACCTGATGGGATAACAAGAGAAATCGTTGCCACTGCGCCATTGTTTGAGGAAGTTGCAGACAAGATTTTCAGCATCTTGAATGGAAGGATATGGGCAGGCCATAACATTCGAAGATTCGATTGTGTTCGTATTAGGGAGGCGTTCGCGGAGATCGGCAGGCCTGCTCCTACCCCAGTTGGGATGGTTGATTCCTTAGGAATCTTAACTCGCAAGTTTGGCCAGAGAGCAGGAAACATGAAGGTAAACCGTTAAAATCATAACATGCAGCATTGTGGAATCACAACATTCAGAATAGTTCTCATGTTTTTGAAGTGTTTCATGTTTAGATGGCATCATTGGCCTCTTACTTTCAGCTGGGGCAGCAAAAGCACAGGTATACATACAATCGGTTAACTCCCTCCCTTTGTGTGCGTGTGTCATGCCCCCTTGGTTCACATAAGTGCTTTGTGCAGGAGCCTTGATGATGTTCGTATGAACTTGGAGGTCCTCAAACATTGTGCTACTGTTCTGTTTCTGGTGAGTCATCTCATCTAAACAGCATTCCTCTTCGTGGGTCATCTCTGATATTGGTAATTTCTGTACCAGGAATCGACCCTCCCAAGCATATTGCAGGGGAAGTGGAAGACTTCATCCACCATAACAACCCGAAACAGAGCAAATGGGAAGCTGCATTGCAGAGAGGAAAGTAGTCGAAAATCCCCTCCATCGTCGCCGGGGTATCAACTGAGATCAGCTCCTTATGCAAGGGAAAGACTGGGAATTGGAAAGGTTTAGTTACAGGTCTTTCTTTATACGCATAAAGGAAACATTTTTTCCCAACCAACTGATGAAAATGTGGTGAATTGAAACAGATGGCGGCTGAGGTAAAGAATGTACTCTGCATGGCTCACCGAAAACAGCATCTTAACGTCTTACTTAAACATTCTCGATCGCTACTAAGGTAACTGAAACCAAAGAATGTAGTCTGAACATAACAAACAGAGTTCATTCTTTCATTACTTCATCAGTAAAAGAGTGATAGATGATGTTCTTGGGAGAGATTCTTTGATGTACAGAGATGTAACAATATTAGCAGTAATCAAACAGTTCATTCTTTCATAAATAGCAGAGTACATGTTGCTAGGCAATGTTGAATGTCAAAATGTACATATAATTAAAGGGGTTCGTATTTTTTTACAATTTGGATGAATAAGTGAGGGAAGGAAGGAAGAACATGTGTTTGTTTAGTTAGTATCAACTTTAAGTCCATTCCAACTAAAGTTTGATGGGAAAGTCCAAAGGAATGGTGTTTGTTTCAAGAGCCCCAGTTTATAACATAACCTCCTGCTCCTCTTCTCTCTATAATTGGTTGCAATAATTGAACAGCCTTGAAATAAGTTAGAAGAAAAATCTACCGCACTCCAGAATATAACATTAACCATGACACGGACAAGGCCTTGTCAATTCACGAGGTGTTGTGTCCATCACATTCACAACTACCAGACTCTTAGGAAAAGTGGGGAGGGAAAAAGAAAACAACTTTCGGTAGAAATGTAAAGAAAAAGGAAAAGAGACGATGAAGCCCATTTCGAACTTCCACAGTGTTTATGGCCATGTGGCTCCTTTTCCTTTGCCTTTGCCTTCATTTATACTGGACTTTAAATCATCTTTTGGTTTACATCAAAGCCTCACCATAACGCCCTGTACTGTTAAGAATGGTGGGGTACCATAAAGTCCACAAAATGAAACAAATAATGGAAGCCCCCAGTATCCTCTTACACCGCACACATTAACGAGGATGGGGTCTCCATCCCCCACCTATTGGACAAAAAAACACCATTCTGGATTGCCCTTTACGAATTCATTTACTGTAACATTGTTGCTTTTTAGTGTAAGTATTTGCATTAAGAATGAAGGAAGGGGCGGTGGGGTAAGAGCCAGAAAGGAGAAACTTATTACAAGGTCACAAGACGCCCTGTGCATGGCAATAACAGAGAGCCCATCCCTTCCTTTACCGCCACATAGGCTGTTGTTCTCTCGTCATCTGTGCCTTCAACCACATGTTCTCCTTTCTTTTCTTTTTTTCTAGGAATGTCCAGAAGCGCCCACAAAACGACCAAAAATAAGAGGACATACATATAATTTCATTATTTAATTTACTGTTGACTCTGATAGAGGACCAGAATTTTCTCACCACGTATCACCACAGTACGCACTTTTCCTCAGAATCACACATTTTTCTTATTAATTCAATTTCTCACCATCTCAAATCCTTGGTGTAAAGCCAAAAGCTTTTGTGGGCCATACCCCCATTCATCTCATGCCATGTGTAAACGAAACGCATGCATTTTCGTGCATAAAAGGAAGCCATCGAGCACATAGCCAGCAGTCTGAGGTAGAGACAGCCTGAGCTTGTTTGGTTGAGTGGAAAATTTCTAGTTTTTTTCTTCTTCTTGCATTTCTAAGAGAGAAAAGAGAAAATGTTCATTGAGAGCTTTAAGGTTGAGAGCCCCAATGTGAAGTACACTGCGAATGAGATTCATTCCGTGTATAGCTATGAGACCACAGAACTTGTCCATGAGAATAAGAATGGTAGCTTCCAGTGGACGGTGAAGCCCAAGACTGTTGAATACGAATTCAAGACTCAAACCAGCGTTCCAAAACTTGGGTTTGTGTCTATCATCTTTATAATTTGTTGTTTTGATTATTTTCTTTTTCATCCTCTTTACCAGAAGAAATTTGGTTATGTATTGTGCAGGGTTATGCTTGTTGGATGGGGTGGAAACAATGGTTCCACTCTTACTGGCGGTGTTATTGCCAATCGAGAGTAAGGTTTCTCAAATGTTCTTAAATGTGAACAAGAAATGTCATTTTAGTTTCTTCTGAATGTATTAAAATATTCTCAGAGGGATCTCCTGGGAAACTAAGGATAAAGTTCAACAAGCCAACTATTTTGGGTCATTGACTCAAGCTTCGTCCATCCGTGTGGGTTCCTACAATGGCGAGGAGATCTATGCCCCATTCAAAAGTCTGCTCCCTATGGTACTGACTTTTAGTTTAAATGGGTTGGAGGGTTCTGTTAATCAAATATGTGTTTTGTTAATGTCCCATTATATTGTTAACCTACAGGTTAATCCAGATGAGATTGTGTTCGGTGGGTGGGACATTAGTGACATGAACTTGGCAGATGCATTGGCGAGGGCCAAGGTGTTTGATATTGACCTGCAAAAGCAGCTGAGGCCCTACATGGAATCCATGGTCCCACTCCCTGGGATTTACGACCCTGACTTCATTGCTGCTAATCAAGGTTCACGAGCTAATAATGTGATTAAAGGAACCAAGAGAGAACAAGTCCAACAAGTTATAAATGATATCAAGTAATATGCTACTCTAGTTTTGTTTTGGTACATGCAATTTTCTTTTTTAAAGATTCTAATTCTCTGGGTCCTCCTAATAATGTGGTGATTAGGGAGTTTAAAGAGAAGAGTAAAGTGGATAAAGTTGTTGTGCTTTGGACTGCCAACACGGAGAGATACAGCAATTTAGTTGTGGGGCTGAATGACACAATGGAGAGCCTCTTAGCTTCACTGGACAAGAATGAGGCTGAAATATCTCCTTCTACCTTGTATGCCATAGCCTGTGTTCTTGAGAATGTCCCTTTTATCAACGGAAGCCCACAAAACACCTTCGTCCCAGGTATCATCTAACCTTAACATTTCAGCTCTCTTACTGACATGATCACAGGCATCAAACATTCTGATAATCTTTCAATTTCAGGGTTGATTGATTTGGCTATTAGGAGGAACAGTTTGATCGGAGGAGATGATTTTAAGAGTGGTCAAACCAAGATGAAATCTGTCCTAGTGGATTTTCTAGTTGGTGCTGGTATTAAGGTAAAATCTTGACACAAAAATGGTTTGGTATTATTCAACTAACCCAGGAAACCAGTGAAATCCTTCTCTTATTTGTTACTATGTTTTGATTACAGCCAACTTCGATTGTGAGCTACAACCATCTTGGAAACAATGATGGAATGAACCTGTCTGCCCCACAAACGTTCCGCTCCAAAGAAATATCAAAGAGCAATGTGGTGGACGACATGGTGTCAAGCAATGGCATCCTGTACGAGCCTGGGGAGCATCCAGACCATGTTGTAGTGATCAAGGTGCTTCCTTGTTTTGCTTATTGAAGTGTTTCCTGTGTTTGTTTATGGTTTTGGCTGATTTAGAAGTGTTGGGGTGTTTTAGTATGTGCCATACGTTGGAGACAGCAAGAGAGCCATGGATGAGTACACATCAGAGATATTCATGGGTGGAAAGAGTACCATAGTGATGCACAACACATGCGAGGACTCCCTCTTGGCTGCTCCCATTATTCTTGATCTGGTTCTGCT